AAACTGGAAGAAAGGGTCATTAAATGTGTACAGAAGGGAGTGATTATAATAATATTAAATAGGAAGTAAGAAAAATGAGAACATGCAAGTTAGGGATTGAGTTCCCAGAGGATATGAGGACATTCTAATCTCTCCCCCCTGTCCCATGAATTTGACCTTATTTGGAAACACAGTATTTATAAATGTAATCAAAATCAGATGAGGCCTCTTGGGTGGGTTTTAAGACACTGAAATTAATGTGCTTTAAAGAACAGAAGACAGCTTCAGAGGGGGAAGACAACCATGTGACCACGAAAACAGTTGCCAGAGCGAAACATTATTCTGTCTTCCAAGGAACGACCCTGAACGTTGCCCACTCCCGAAGGTAGAAGAAGCAAGGAAGAAGTCCTTCATGCTTGGTTCATGCTTGAATTTGGGGCTTGGACCTCCAGAAGCATTTGAAAATGATCTTGTTTTTAAACCACCCAATTCTACAACCTTGTCACTGCAGCCTTAGACTCTCACTCATTTACGTGTTACGCATTATCAGGTTCACCCTCACTGGCCAACTTGAGTGAGCGAATCTAGGGCACAGGAAGCCCCGAAGTAGTTACTGCTTGATACTTTCTAGACAGAGTGTCTTTATCCCACACTTAAGGTGTGAAAATGAAATGAGAGCCCAGGGAAGATACAGCCCAATGCAAGGTTCTATGGAGGAAGCTCTGAATTCTATGTAAATAGGGAATCTTTGAAATTCTTATTTTAACTGATTTCTGTAGAATTAAGGAAAGGAGTCCTGATAGGAAGTTGAGACCCAAATGACATGCTTAGCATATAGATTTATTTTTCTTGGTGAGCAGTAGATTTTTTGTGTTGATTGATGTACGTTTGTTGTCTCTTTCATAGGCCAATGTCCACTGTCCAATACATTGGGAAGTCCAACATGCGCAAGATACTTGCCTGCTTATTTCGGATGGCAAAATTGACTCGAGTTTTAAAATAGTCTTTCAGGGTCTGGATATACTATTGCTTCATGGTAAGATTTAAGAAAAATCCTATCTTCCTAGCATCGTCCTCCACCCCCCTTTTTTTGTTTCTTTTGTAACAGTTTGCTTATGATATTGGTTGCCTATCATAACCATTGTGTGAGCTAAAATTAAACATGTATTTAACAATGATCCCTTACAATCCCTTAGTGCTTGGTTATTGACTACGTATTTTAAACCACATAATACAAATTTAATTCTTCAAATAACAATGTTTTAAAATACTGCTTGAGGATAGAAAAAGTTGGAACTCATCAAACTGAAGTGTCCAACTCAGAGTCATAGCCACTTAAGAATGGGGTAAATCTTGGATAATTCTGGGAGCTAATTGATTTATTGGTAGAAATCTAGTGCAAACCAATACTGCTCAAAGTCTTCTAAAATTGTTCTCATGGAAAATTTTCTGTGCAAACAGTTCTGTTTTCTTGGAATTACATAGCAGATAGAATGCCTAAAGCTCGGAGGCTCCCCTGCCGTTCTTCCCCTCCCCTCATCTTTTATCCCCCTCTGTCTTTCACTTCCCTTTTCCTTTCCTTTCCTTTTTTCAAGATCCAAGATTGGAGGACGTGAACAGCAGATCATGTTTCTTTGAGATTTCTCTGTTTCTGAAGAGAGATCTACAGAGCTGTGTTCTGGCCTGTTAACTGTTTCCCGCAGATTCTAGAATCCCAACAAGAAAGGAAAGCATGCAGTTATTTAACCCAAAAGCTTTTTTAAAAAAAAAAATGAAGAAAAACAAATAACCACAAGGATTCCAGTGATGGTCCTAGGAAAGGCTGGCTTAAAATCTCAGAAGGGAAGGGAGGAACTTGGTTCCAGACACCCTTGGCTTCTCTGGCTTGTCTTCCCTCAGTCTCTGTACCCGGTGCTGTTGTGTTTTCTGAAAATCAGCAAGTAAGATCACAAGCGGGCTTTTCTTTTTTCATTCTCTCCCATAAAGAAAGCTTTATCACGTGTGGCCTTAAACTTGCAGCAAATTGCAAAGAAATGGCTCAAAGGCTTCAGCTCCTTCTGTGCCCCAGGAGCCGAGATGCACGTCAGTGGCCTTGCCAGCGTGGCCAACACTCTGCAGACTGCCAGAGAAAAGAGGCCAGTTGGAAAGACGAAAAAGAAGAGCTTGTCCAGCAGGGAGACCATGCCCTTCCTCTTTTCTTCCTCCTAATTTGCACTTGTCTGTGTCTACCCAGGCTGTCCCCACCTGCAAGCGTTGCTCAAAATTGCTGTGGAATATACCTCAGTTTCCTCTTTGAGTCTGTATTCGTGGGGTGCAGTCTCTTGCTGTTCACACTGAGAGGAACTGGCTGTCCTTGGTCTCCACCTCCGGGTAAGATCTGGTTCTTCTGTATTTTGTGACTGTCACATCAGACTGTCTCAGGAGAGATGCCCATCTTGCTGACAGTTGTGTTTGACCCACAGCATCTTTCTGAGAGGTGGATGGGACCCAGTGAGACCGGTGTAAACCACAGATGATCCTGGTTGAAGAAATCTGGTAAACTTACGTCTATGTTCCAATTTTGACTCTGACATTTGCGGTTTGAATGCCTTGTAATACTCCACTGCTACTGAGCTATATCATGTCTCAAGATGGGAGTTTAAATGTTAAACTTACTGGATTCTTGCAAGGGTTAGAAGCTCTTGTCACAAAACAGCTAGCGATTAAATCTGAATCTGTCACAAATAATTATCTGTGTTGGCTGTGGGTGTGTTGGAGGATGGGATCACATATTCTGGCAATACCGAGAGACTGTCGTCTTTTTTTTTTTTTTGACTCTCTGAATGAGGGATGATGGTTGTCAGATGCAACCCTGGTCCAGCTGTTTTCCTCTGTTCTGTGTCTCAGAGAAGGGAAGGGTGACCTTAGCTGCCTCCTGACTTTGTCTGTTACTCCCCTGGGACACGGACTGCTCCAGAGTGTCTGTGTCTTTGATCCAGAGCAGAGGGGTCAAGTGCTCCTGCAGATCCCAGGGCACCTGTGCTCTCCATGTATATTCATAAATTTATTTCTGGACATGAATCTGCAATGGCGTCGGAAGACTTTATGACATAGCATATGCAGTAGTTTGTTGGACATTTAGATCACTTGATTATTTTGGTATTTTATAATACTAGCCCTTAGATCTCTCTAGGAATTCTGTTCAGAGTACTGAGTACTTTGTTAAGAAAACTATTTGTCATTGCGTGAGCCAGTTTCTTAATTTCCTTTTCATTTTCTGGTTATTTGGTGGATTTGTGAAGTTGACTTTTGGTGTCAGATACTGGAAAAGAGGAATCTGTTCTAAATTCTTCAGGATGTTTTTAAAACCAGAAATGGATGTAGAATGTTGAGCCTATTAATTAATATCAATTACCAAATTTTTACAATAATCCTACCTATATTAACTGATGACTTAGGACTTTTTTTTTAACTCATGGGCCTGCTTTTGAATTTTTTCCTATATGCATTACCTGTATGAGATTTTGTTATCAAGATAATTTTTGTCAAGTGAATGGTTCTTTTTCTTTGCCTAGTATTTTTTGTGAAAAGGTGTCCCTTGATCCCACACCCTTACTAAATCATCTATCCTCCATGTTGAGCTTAAGGAAGAATTGTAGAATGTTTTTCTTCATATCTTTCTAGCTTTTTTTCTCTACTCCAGTTAATGTAAATACAGGTCATTAATGTTTTTAGTTATTTCTACAAATTATAAATTTTTGTATCTTTGGTATCTTAAGCTTCTAAGGATGTTTTATCTCATTAACATTTCACCCTTTGTCTTTTCATAATTACAATTAGCAACTCTTTGTTTCATTTAGATTTTTAGCTTTCTTTTGCTTACTTTTCTTTGTCCATTAAAAAAAATTCCATTTTTTAAAAAATCTGGGCCTTTTTATCCCATTCTTTATCATTTTGTAAATCTCTGAAAGAAAGAGCTCAATCTTTTAACTGGGTAATACCTCTGATATTTAATTTACATATCACAGTAAATTGTGTCATCATTACCTCATTTTCTAATTTGGATATGAGGGTCAGGGTATATTAAACACAGAACAAATACTGCACATGCTCAAGTTGGTGTTTCCATACATACATGAAATTATAATCCTAGTGTCATTTCTGCAGTTGGTATAATGAGAATGTAGATGTCCGTTAATGAGCGATTAAATAATCAGAGGACATTAGGGCAAAGTTGCTCTTTTTTTAATCCTTTTATTTACATTAGCTTGTCAGGTGATTTTAAACCTTGTGGAATTCTAAAAAAGTGAGGGCACGTAAATGTTGATATAACCATGGAGAATATAGCACCAGAATATGTGATGGAGGCAAGGGGAGAAAATTCAGTGTGTGGAAATGTGACTATCTTTCTTACTGTAAGACAGGCTAATGGCTGTACTGTCCCTGAGTTAAATCCAAGCCTGATACACAACCTGACTGCTGCTTTGTTTCTCAAACCGAAATTATATGAAAACTAGATCCCTCGTGTTGCTTATGTGTGAAGTTGTACTGTGGTTGTGGCCTGAGTCTATGATGAATGTCACCTTTTCTATTCATTCTGCCAAGCAGAAGGTTTAAAAAGCTCTAGAGACTTAATTCTAATGAATCAGTATGGAAGTGGATGAATTCCTCTTCTTCCTTTCCTTTCCTAGTTTAAACTGGCAAGACCACAAAGTTAGAAAAATTCTACCTCATTTTTATTCCAAAGACAACATTTAAATGTATTCTTTGCCATAATGAGGCTTAAACTTGGAGTGATGGAAAAAGAATGCTGGCTGCAGAGTTCCAGTAGCCGGATTAATTCATCAGATATCCTGCTTGATTTTAATTGAAAATTTTTGCCAACTTACTGTGGTAACAAAAGTAGCTTCACTTTAAATTTTAACTGTAGAGTTGGAGCCCACTGTGAAATGAAGACAGGATTTAGGAAATTGTATAGATGTTGCCTAATTTTTTTCTTCCTTTTAAAATCAACCTTGACAGCTCCAAAGAACATTTTCATAATGGACACTTCATCCAAAGAAAACATCCAGTTATTCTGCAAGAAATCAGGACAACCTGTTGGAAGTCTTTCTTTTGAGACAGAATATTCCTCCTCTAAAGAAAAACAAGCATGCTGTGGTGAGCTAAAGGTAGAGCGGAAAAGAATTAGGCTGTATTAATGCTCTTGCCTTTCTATTCATCTCCTGGTTTTCCAGTGACATGGCAAAGGACTAGATTGCCTTTGAAACGATGTTCTTTGTGGCTCTAATCTTTTTATACTATTCATATACCTTTTTATACTATAAATACTACATAGATGATGTATATAAATATATGTACAAATACTTTATACTGACATATACATGCTATACATAGGCATGCTAACTTTCCCCCACAGAGCCCTACCTTTCCAACTATGCAATGTATATTTTTGAAAATGTTTTACATTGAGGAAGTATTTCAGTTTGCATTTAACACATGTGAATTGGAACATGAGGAGCTGTATGTACTTACACCTGTTGAGTCTATCGTGTTGTAAAACATCATGAGTGGTAGAGTCGTTTATGATGCTCCCTTGGTTCCCTTTGTATTGACAGCCCCTTCCTCTCTCTGCCTTAAAGCACTCTAATCTTTTTCAAAGTTACGTTCCTTGGCATGCCTTCTGATGAAAGAGAACAGAAGGGGAAGAAGGGAAGTCAGCATTCATTTTGAATGTAAACCAACACACATTCTAAATTCTAGGAGGAGCATTTGAATTTTGTGAAATGTTACAGAAGCTCCAGGCTGAAGGAAATCTGTAAAAGTCTTTGAATTAAGTCATCGCTGATAGTAAAATTGGTGTTATTCACTGTTTTAGTTTACATCTTACCTGTCCATTTGATAAGTAAGTTTGTAGTGGTTTTTTCTCGAAATTGCAGCCTGGCTACACATGATCTGTCATTTTTCCAGATGTTCCTGGGAGCCTTGTCTTTTGTTTACTTTGCAAAAGCATTGGCAGAAGGCTATCTGAAGAGCACCATCACTCAGATTGAGAGGAGGTTTGATATCCCCTCTTCACTGGTGGGAGTGATTGATGGTAGTTTTGAAATCGGTAAGTGGTTCAGATGGCTGACTTTATGTTTAACACCATTTATCCTAGGCATGGCTGAATGACACCATCTCTGTGGGCTCTTTTCTCATGGGATCCAACTCAAGAAGCCTTCTTTGGTCACAGAATTTGCCAAAACTTTGTGCTGTTGTGGAGGTGATTGCCTTCTCAGCACAACTGGTGATAAACGCACTGCCCCATGTGGTCACTACTGAATGACATTCGTGCAATTCAGGGCTCCCTATCAGAGCGATAGACTTTCCCAGAAGAGTATCGTACTGTATGGTAATGGCTACTTTGAGTCATAAGTGTACAAGTATGTTTATAGAAGAGTGATACATACTGGGAGTACTGTGGTTTAAATGATGTGGAAGAACCCAAATGAGCCCTCTGAGGTTATACCACGGTGGCTGGTGCTGCAATGCACTGGGCTAAGCAGCGGACCTTGGAGGATATCCCAAGTACATGGGCCGCATCATCATCTTGGAGATCCTAATGGAATTTCTGGCTCCCAGCATTAACCTGATTGAGCTCTGAATGTTGTAACCATTTTAGGGAATGAATCATCAGAAGGACAATTTCTCTCTCTCTCTCCTCCTCTCTCTCCCTCTCTCCTCTTCCCTCCCTCCCTCTCTTTCTCTCATTCACTCACTCACTCACTCAATCTTTCTGTGATGATCTGCCTTACAATAAGTGAACATGTTTAGGAAGTTTTAGCTTCAGAGATTAACAATCCAACCGTAAAGAGAGTTTTAGGGCTTGGTGGTGTGGAAAGACAAGAAAATGGATTCTGTTAACAAAAACAATGGCAAAGAGCAAGTAGTGAACACTTTACTCTCAAGTAGCATTTGATAGAAATTGACTGTAGATTCCCCTTTAAAAAAGTGACTTGAGTCACTGTATCGGAAATAGTTTTAAGACGGTAATCCTAGTTAGTCTGTGTCCAGAACTGATATGCTAAGAGGCTTTAGTTCTTTGTGTAAGTAAACAAAATAATGCCCTCTGCAATCTTTAATGCCTGTTGGAACTCAGATACATGCTGAAGTAAAATCGTGTTCCCATTTCAAATTTACCTGATGAATTTGCAGAATTAGTAAGAAACAGTTTTAGCTTTTTGATATTTATCTTGCATATTTAATTTTTGACTCTAAATATTACATAAAAAGGTGAGAATAGATAGGTCACCTTTTACCCTCAAAATTTTGCTTCCAAAATCCATCAGTGAACCAACCTGCCAAAATGAGACCTATAATTTGAGTGTCATACAGTTCCCACACAATGCTGGATGATTTTGCCTGAAGGGAGGGGTAAGATTTTACATTGCTCATAAGATATCAGATGATGTGGATGATACTGGTCAGTGGATTGCAAGATTGATCAGTTGTATACAAGACTCAGACATTTCTGAGTACATTACTCCCTGATACAATCTTGTAGCTAGGCCTACATAGTTGATTTATTCCTTGTGTCTTCCCTACTAATGACCATAAACTGAATGAAGGACCCTGGGGATTCACCTGTATCATAGGATGCAATTTATTAAGGAGCAGCTGTTGTGGATGAAAAAAATAAAGCAAATTCACACACAAAAAAATCATAGATATGCTGATGTTATTTACATGTATGTCAGATAAGTGAGGCTCTTCACCATAATCTTTAAATTAGATTTTTTTACAATGAAAGATGTATCCATTTTTATTTGAAAGACAGATTTACAGAGAAGAGAGATAAAGAAAGATCTTCTATTTGCTAGTTCAGTCTCCAAATGGCTACAGTGGTTGGAGCTGAGCTAATCCAAAACCAAGAGTCTAGAGTTTCTTACCGGGTCTCCTATGTAGGTTCAGGGACTCAAGAATGGGGCCATCCTGTGCTACTTTCCCAGCCCACAGACAGGGAGCTGGATCCAAAATGAAGCAGCCATGACATGAGCTAGTGCCCATACTGGATGCCAGTGCTGCAGGCAGAGGGTTATTCTGTTATGCCACCACTTGGACCCCCGATCTGTCATTTATCATTCTTATTTCACCATTATGTCAAATATAGGCAATAGTGATAAGCAAGTTTATCTTGTATCTGATTAAATGTAAATGCTTTGAATTTTTTTCGCTATTGAGCAGCACATATGCTTGCTGCATGATTTTGTTAATATACATTAAAATTGGTTTCCTCAGATTTTTATTTCTATTCATAAATGACTAATTGTATTGAGTGTTTTTACTACATCTGTCAGGATACACATGAGGTCATTTTTCTGCCAGATTTACAGTGACTTGATATGATATTGTTTTGTTTTTGTTCTTTGGCGATACCTTGTGCTTTCTGCTTGGGTGAAGTGTGTTTTTTTTTTATATATACACTTCTGTGGCTTGATATTTCTTAGCTAAGGATTTTCGCATTTATCTTTATAGTTAAGCCTTAGCTGTAATTGCTTTTTCTTATGTTTTCCTTATCCTCTTTTGGCCTTTGTTGGGAGATGTTGATGGGAAGGGATTACTCGTTACCTGAAATTCAGCTTTCACTTTGTTTAGTTTTCTTACCATAGACATGCCCAAAAAGTGCAGACATAGTTATCAGCATAATGTGATACAGGATAGCTCCTTCTGAATGGTTGAATGTGAAAAGGGATGCCTTATGCTCAATTTTTAAAGATAGGAACATTAAAAAGAGCTAATTCTTCTTGTAGCCTGAAAGCCACAAGCCACTTTTCCCAGTATCTTTACTGTTATTCTCAAGGGTTTTAAAAATCACTGCTTTTTTTCCCCCAAAAGACTAAAGCTGGCTTCGTGACTAAACAGTAGGAAATTTGATGATCACTTACAGATGAAGGGAGGCGCGTTCTTGCTAGGAAACAGAAGCTTAAGAACTTCAAAGCAAGGCCACCCATCAGTCAGGAATTCATTAAATCTAGATAGCAACCCATTTCTTAAAAACAATGTGTCCCAAATAAAAATATTTAAAACATTAAATTCCCTTAAAATCTGAAACCTTACACCATGTTTATCTACATGTGTTCCAGAGAGGAACCTCATCAGTTCACTTGAGCTAGGATTAGAAATGCAAATTTGTTGGCTTACTGCCAGACCCATGGAATCAGAAACTTTCGGGATCTGCCAAGAATCTGTGTTTTTAACAAGTGTCCATTTCCCCCACAACTTCCTTCCAGTAATTTTTATGCACAGCAAAGCGTGAGAAATTTTCCTTGAAGCATATTTATTCAGTCATTACTATCATCAGCTAAAACTAATTTATTACATGCTTCACTGGAAACATTTTGGGAAGACATAATTGCAACTCTTAAAACTCCCATGCTCTGAAAAATGATTTTTCAGCAAAGGGATGGGCATATCTTACGGAGATTTTGCATTTCATAAAATTTGTACAGTAGGTGCACATTGAGGTTATGTAACGGACACATCGACACCTAATGTGTATGTGGTGTCATATTAAATTTTGTTTCAGTCCTTTTTGTTAAAAAAAAGCCCATCAATACATTGTGAATAACCATTTGTGTAAATATGAATTTCATCTGATTTCATTCAAGGCAAAGTACAGTAGTGCCTGTTCTTTTCTGTAGGCTACCAACTAGGGGGAAAGAGTATGTAATGTATAATTCAAAAGCAACCTAGTAGGAATTTTAATGGCAAAATTTAATGAATAAACAATTAGTGAGGGATTTCCTTGCAAAAACTCTAAGTCAAATCTAAAAGGATAAGGCAATTGGTGGTTATAAAAATGTGGTGCATATAATACTTTATGCATTGTAAATTACATATAATGTACATTTTGTATATATTTTATATAAAATTTATATAAATAATTATGTGCAATGCAATAAGAGGTATGACCAAATATTTTGAAAAAGCGATGGGGTCATTGATGTTGTTAGGAAAGACCATTAATCATCCCAGATGAAAACAAAGAAGGGTAAATGATGGCAAACATGGTGGGGAGATGGTCTAATTGAAACAAAACTTGGCTCTACCTGCTGTCTACATGATTGGTATGGTGGCACTGATGTTTTCTAAGTTCTCTAACTTGAAAGATGCTTTCTTCTTTTCCCTCCAGGGAATCTCTTAGTTATAATGTTTGTTAGCTACTTTGGAGCTAAACTTCACAGGCCAAAAATAATTGGAATAGGGTGCCTAATCATGGGAATTGGAACACTGCTCATTGCGATGCCTCAGTTCTTCATGGAGCAGTAAGTCTAAAGCATTTGCTGGTTGTTTTTTTTCTTACCTTGTCTAGTCATTGCCCATCTCCCAATTATGGTTGAAATTGCGTTGAGGTTAAGCTTAAACTGTGATTAAATAATATGCATTTTTTTCATAATGTCTTTGGAGAAAATTTCAGTTTTGTAATTTTGTGACAATGATTATTAAAAAATATTTGCATGTTGTACAATGATATCAAAAAAATTTTCAGTGTTACAACTAAGACATTTTCATTCAGCTATGAACGCAGAAGTTATGTAAAAAATTGTTACTTTATTAGTGTTACATGGATAATTTATAAATGCTTTTAACAGTCACTGCTGAATTGTGGCATGCTGACAGTCAGTTGGCTTAGGGGTATGATAACAGCTCACACAGTCATTCAGTGTTGAGACAGAGAAAGCCTTGGACTGTCATCAGCTGAAATGTGGTATCAGTGTTCTTGTGGCATTCAAGTCTATCTTTAGTGCTTTGGTTAGTGATTTTGTCAGTATTGCACTCTTTAGTAATTCCAGAATCTTGCATTTAATATTTTTACCCTGACAGAAAACTATAAGGTAAGTAGATACAGTCTTCTTTTGTTTTAATTGTAGACACGAAGTAGAGAATTTGGTGACTTTGTCCAGGCTAAATTCTTGTAATTATAGAACTGGATTATCTGAAACAAGTCCTTGAACTTTCTATCCAGCAGCCTTTGTGCATTTCTGTGCCACCCACCTGCAGGATTACCTATTGCTTGCTGAGAAATGACTAGCAAAAGAATTTGAACAAAAGTACATATGAGGTGATCTTTGATTACTGTCTAGATCACTATATCCTTAACATTTTGAAATGACAGAGACTTACTTCTCAGATCTTATGTATATATTAGAGCAGGTGGATTTTGGCCCCTTAGCCAATCTTTAAATACAGGACACAGAATCTTCTGATGGGAGCTTTGCTATGCATTTGGATACTTCCCATGAATCCACAGTGTGGAGAGTGAGCTAGGATGTGGGGACTTCTGTTGCTGTTTGAATGCCTCTGTGACATCCTTTCTGCAGGTGCAAGTTTGCTTGAGTCACAGAAACTCTGCAAGGATGTGACAAAGGATTAATGGTGAACAAGGAGGAAAAAGAGAAAGCTGAGAGTCTCCAATGTGTCCAAACCCTGTTTCGCCTGTACTGCTGCTGCTTTAGTCATTGGGCCTCCAGTGTGCACTCAGTGGGCTCGGGAGGATTCTTCCTCAATTATAAAAATTCCTTGGGCCTAGAGTTAAGTCTTTAAGAAATCAGCAACTCTACAACAAATCTTTCTGACCCCAGTCTAAATTCTATTTTAAAAGATCACACTGATTATTGTTGAAGAATTGATTCTGGTGGGGCAAGAGACTGCTGTAGAGTTTCTTGCCTTGAAGTCCTATTACATCCATTAGTACCTGGACGTGGGTCGGGACAAAAGTCTCTCGTTTAAAAGTAACCATGTCAATGATTCCCTGTTTCATCATTTGTTAATGCCTTTTTATAAAACAGAATCTAAATGGACACAGGTGTGTTTAGTATCTAAAAGAGTTGCTTACTAAGCATGTGGCTAATACATGTATTGTGTTATTGACCTTTTGTACAGGTATAGATACGAACGGTATTCATCTTCATTCAGTTCCAATCTCAGCCTCTCTCCTTGTCTCCGGGAATCAAAAAGCCAACTGCCAATCTCCGCTATGGAAAAATCCCAGCCCCAAATAGACAATGGTAAGATAGTTGTGTTTTTTTGTTGTTGTTTTAGTGGAAAGGCAGATCAACTCTATGGGGAGAGGGCAAGACACAGAGAAAGCTCTTGCATTGGCTGGTTCACTCCCCAAAAGGCCACAGAGACCAAAGCTGGGCTTATTTGGAGCCAGGAGCTTCTTCCGAGTTTCCCATGCAGGTGCAGGGTCCCAAAGCTTTGGGCCATCCTCTGCTGCCTTCTCAGGCCATAAGCAGGGAACTGGAAGGGTGGTGGAGAAGCCAGGACATGAACTGGAGCCCTTATGGGATCCTGGCACTTGCAAGGACATTGAGCCATTGACGTGACCTAAATTGCTTTTTAAGTCAACTAAACAAATTCTTTTTAGGTGTTGTGGTGTGGGTGAGGCTTTCTATGTGGTATGGCAAGTATAAAAAATATCTACATTCCTTTTTGCCTCAACTAATTTATTTCTTAAATTGAGTTAGTATGATAAATATCCCTAAAACATAAAGCAGTGTCTGATGAAAAGCTAAGAAAACATGTAGATGATAGAATGATTGAATATTGAATTAGGGAAACTCTTGCAGTGTTTCCAGTGGAAGAGGAACCTCGATATCAGAGTGAAAACAGTTTTTCAGGTAAAAATCAGATATAAAAAGAGTATACTCTTCCCTCCAAGTCAATCTAACATTACTGTGTGTCATCTCTTCAATAGAATGGCCAAAACCATCTCCATGTCCATAACCTTTCTTCTTTCTCCCAGGTGCTATTCACGTTCTAGCAGTTTGCATAATGTCACAGAGGCAGTTAGGATTCCCAGTGCTGTCAGTCTTCTGTCAGCTTAAATTCCTAAAACCCTGCTGGTCACACCATTTGATCATACATATCACCATGGACTCATCTTACGTTCTCGTTCCTGCCCTGTTTGACACAGTAGCTCTCCCTGGTACAGAAGTAATGTTCTTGAATCCAGGGAAATCATCCTGCTTCCCACATGAGCTGGGGTGCAAGGCATTTTGTCAGCAGGTAGAGTGTCCATGTGGCTGGTGAATATGGCACAGCCTTGCCATGCATGTACCACCCTTGGAAACATGTAATTTACACCAAAGTAAAACATATTTTTTTCCCTTGCTCTGAGAGTCCTTGACTTTATCTATGCGAATTGTTACATCTCTAAGTCTCAGAACAGGTAAGGCAAGTCCTGCTCTGTTCTCTCCATAGCCTCAATATGCACAGAATGCCCTCTCCTCCCTCTCAGTTTGTCTCCTTACTCCTGACCAGGGAAATCAATTTCTCTGCAGAACTATGAAAATGTTTCTTTTATACACCTGCTATTCACCTAAATGTTTTTCTCTCTTCCATAAAACCTGTTAATTACCCTAACATCGTCATTAGTCCTTCCATTTTTCATTGTCTTTACTCCCAGGCAATGAATCATAAATGACTGAGGTTTGAATGACAAGTGGGGCCAAAGGTTTAAAGGAAATAAGGAAATCTAGTGAAGGACGAAGATGATAAAATGTAAAATGCTATCCTTTGCTGCTATGCGAAAAGATGAAGCACGTGTCAGACTGTGGGGGAAGATTGTAGGTTCATCCAAGATGTTTATAAACCAGTGGGCACAAACAGAGAGCTGTTTCTGTAAAGAACTTAGTGGATGAAAGATGTGCTGCAGCAGGGCAAGGCAGAAGCCAGGAACTTGGAGCCTCATCTTGGTCTCCTATGTGGGTGCATTGGCCCAAACACTTGTACGATCCCCTGCTGCCTTCCCAGGACCTGGATTAGAAGTAGAATAACCATATTGGATGGCCCAATTACAGACAGTAGCTTACCTTGCTATGCCAGGACCTTAGTCCCTGTAAATGCTATATAAGCCCACATCTGGAGACAAGAAAAGCCTAAAGATTTATCCGTACACAGTGTATAGTCAGTGATGAAATTTTATTTTACTTTCAACAGGGAGAGCTGTGATACAAGTGGAAGCAAGAATAGGAAATATTTGAAACTCTAATATAAAAAACAAACTATGTGTAGTCTTTAGAGTTACAGAATTAAAGTAAAACATTTTTAATGTAAAGGGGAAAGTTACCTGATAAGTATGGCTTAGCATTTGAGTGCTAGCTAATGGGACTCAGAAACGAAACAACAAATTGTACATAATTTTTATTTTAAAATTTAGTCTTTCCTTTTAGATTCAATTTTAAAGGGTTTACTTTAGTTCAAATATTAATAACCCCAAGTGGCTTATGTTTTATACAAAGAATTGAGGCATCTACACTTACCGAAAATGATGACCAAAAGACCTTGTTGGAATTAAATGAATGTCAGGGTTAGAACTGACGTTAGAATTAATTTTTAGAAAAGGAACCCACATCATGCTTTGGGAAGCCAATTAGAACTCCAGGAAAGAAAAATACAAATTTCTTGATCCTTGAGTGTTTTCCCAGAAGGGAAAGGCAGAAAAGAGATGCTCAGCTGAGTGCACTGTGGTCTCATTCAGTCAGAGTCCTTGCTCAGCGTCATTTGTGTCAGTTCTTCAGAACTCACACCTCACAGTCAAATGCCATTTTAAGAGCTATTAATAGGCCCAAATAATTGCAGACCATGGATTTACTCAAAAGATTCAGTTAAAAGTGCATGCTAAGCACTTAGCCCAGCAAGTGGCAGAGAGGAAACTTCTACCAGTAGCAATTATTGAAGGTTGTTAATGTTATACATTTTATTACAGTGACTGAACTCTTCGAAGTTATACTTTGTTTTAAACATGGAAGTAATTATCTCACTACACGCAGAGTCATATCAATATTTGGCTTTTATTAAAGTTGCTTTCTTTGGAATTCTACTCTGAAAAAAAAAAGCTATCAGAAAGGTCTTTAATTTCCAGTGGTAAATCATAGGCGATTCCAAGTTTTTAGACAAATTTGTCCCTTCAAAATCCTAAATTCACTGGAGAATAAATATAATTTGAGGCAGGTTTGTTCAGTATTGGAGTTTGAACCATTGCACATTTTGAATTTTAGGTAAAACTTGCTTAACTGTAAAATTACTTTAGAGTTCTGGTGAAAAATAGAACTGTCTAGAAGTTAAAGCTAGAAAATCTTCATTCAAGATATGTGATTTGCCCCAAAATAGGATGCTGAATATTACTGGGTTATAGAAATTCAAATAGCTTGATGTGCGTACAAAAGAAAGGGGTAAAATAAGAAGAGAGCAAATACGAGAAGTGATGGAGTTGTTATGTCTATGGTAGCTTTATGCACCTTGAAAGATTTGCAAAATGTTTTCCAGTCTCTTTTCTACCAGATCGTGAATGCTTCTCATTTCCCCTTTGGGTTCCGATTCCGTGATAGGACGAATTGTAGAAGTGCAGAGTCAGTGTTCTGTCTGGATAGGTCCCTAACAGCAGTCCTCTTGGTTGCTTTTCATTCAAGAATGTGAAGGTGATGCCAGTTCCTCCATGTGGGTTTATGTTTTCCTCGGAAATCTGCTGCGTGGCTTGGGAGAGACTCCCATTCAACCTCTGGGCATTGCCTACCTGGATGACTTTGCAAGTGAGGACAACGCACCTTTCTATATCGGTAATGTTTGCCCATCTCTTTGGGAAGCCAGGTAGCTGGTTCGGTCCATTCCATCCTATAGGGAAACCAATTTCTCTATTCAACTTATGCATTTCTGAAGTGCTGGGAAGATTTGAGTGCTGAAGACACATCAGTTGGAAGGACCTGTTAGGCAATCAACACTGTACTAAAAACAAAACAAAACAAAAAACTGAGCTCACCAGCAATGTGTGACCCTGTGGAGGAGGCCTCAAGGGTGTCAACTTCCACAGTCTTTTCAGTGGCAGTGTTAGTCCTGCTGAACCATTTCCATGTTTACATATCCATCTGTTTTATACTTGTTTCCAAGCCTTAGAAATTTCTTTCAATTTTAATTTAAAACACCATTTTTATTTATTTAAAGCACTTTTATTTTTCCTGCGAGAGACACAAGGAATTCTGACATAACAAGAGCAGGTAGGAGTGGGTACAGAAGAGTATTAAGAGATTGACAGCAAGGCCTCACTCAGGTACCAGTGCCCCTTGGATAGATCAACAGTGGCCATTATAAAGGTCAATATGGTGGAGCGAAGACATATCTCCCAGGGTAGATGCTTCTAAGCAGCATTTGCTGGGGGGAAGTAGAGAATGGTGGGGTTCTATGTCGTGAAATGAAGCTAGAAACCTAGGGTAACAGAATAACTAAGGCTTATTCTCTGTTTCACCTATCAACTTGGCGTCATGGAGTTCTGATCTTTTGAAGAACTGGGGACACATGGGTAGGATTTATATTACTTGAGCAGTAGAGAGGGACCTGTAGTGAGGGCCCTTAGAGCTGCCCTGCCTGTGCTCTGCAGAAATTGCAGGTGTTATGGTTGCACCCAGGCAAGTTATCATGAAAACAGAGGGTCTTGTTCTTAGTAGAAAAAGGCAGTATTTAGCAGGAAATGAAAGAGCATCCTTGCATGCACTGAACAATTGCTTTGGGCTCTGTAAGAAAGCTGCAGTCAGAAGTATGAGGAACCCAGTGTCTCCTTTCTCACCAGGAACTCAGAGCCTGCTTCCATTCTTTTCTCGCTTTACTAGTCTGTTCCAAACAGGATCTACAACCTGCTATTTTATACATCCAGTTAATTCAAGTTTCCAAAGAATGTGTATATTTTAAGCTGTGTGGAGAGATGGAAGCCAAAGAAAATCTTTTGCAAGGAAGAAAACACTTGTGTGGTTCCTAGAAATGATGTCCTGTAGGCAAACACCATTGTTAAAACAGATCTCCTTGCCTTGAGCTGCCTCCTAGAATGTCCTTGTCCTGCTCCCAAGTCTGATTGCTTTACTAGCTGATTCTAGGATTCTGTATCAATGTAAATATCAAAAGCAGTCCCTCAGAAGCTGTAAGTGAATGAACAAACCGTTACCTTGAAGTGCAAGGAATCAAATTCATTGTCGATGCATCTCACACTTTCGTGACTGCAACAGGTCTTAGAAAGTCCATCCAAACTGGTATAATTCCAGTGAAGAGTATGCACTCTAATCTCAGGAAGGAAAGCTTGCTGAATTTGGGGAAATAGCTTCTTTAGAATCTTGATGCTCTTTTTCTTGCCAAGAAGCAGTTGGTGCCTGAAAGGTGTTTGTTCTTTCTTCAAGAACTTGCTTCCTTTCCAGGGTAGTTGAGAAATTGACAAATAAAACACACACAAATGAAGAGTTGGAATATTTTCAGCTACTAACTGGATCTCAAATGTCTTGTTTAAAATTTTAATTTATCAAGGCAAATAAACAGCAACTTTTTCTTTTTTCCCTTTTTTGCTTTTTTATTGTTGCTTGATACAGGGTGTGTGCAGACTATTGCAATTATAGGACCAATCTTTGGCTTCCTGTTGGGCTCCTTATGTGCCAAACTCTATGTTGACATTGGCTTTGTAAACCTAGGTAAGGGAGTTTATTCATTTATTTTAGTAACTGTGACTTTTTACGTGGGAACATTGTGAAACGTATCAAATTGCCTCTTCAGCAAATGACAGGGTAGTCATCTTTCATAAAATGAATTTGTGGGAACCTTCTTATTGATGTAATCATCCTATGAATTAATACATGAAATATGAAAAATTGGTGGTGGGTAGAGCTGGTAGACGTGGTTTGTTGGGAAGATCATTTTTCCTCACTCTGGTTGGCCAGTTCAAGACATTCTGATGTAGTTGAGGCTCCACATGGAGGCTCCTGGTTGGTGTGTTGATTTCAGGTGTATCAACATCCATTACAGGTGCATCAATTGGTAAGTTATCCAGGAAACTTGACAGAAGAACCAGGGAATGAAAGTCTTCTGGCGACCAAACTCTACCCCTCTCCTTCATTTTCTTTTTAAACTGAATTAAGTCTTTTTCCAGGGAGGTGCTTTAAAGGCTATTGGCCTTCCTTTTGCAAGACTGATTGTGCAGGAAATAAGTGGGAGGCCTCAATGCCCCATAGCTATTCATTTACTCCTAGAATTCTAACAATGGTGTTAAAAACAAGTAAATAAGTGACACATGCATTCATATTTCAAAGTCATGGTAGGTTAAAACAGAATACTAAGTTGTTGTTTATTTATTATCGTATTATTTATTTCAAATTAAAAAAAAAGACATGTTGCTCAACTTTTGTTTGTCCTTTCATGACTTTGCTGAAATTATATTACTCTAACTCTGACGCGGAGTTAATGCCAGAGTTTCATGTTGTTAAAAGAAGCCCACAACAACACACTTAGTCTTGTGGCATAAGCTCTTTCACGTGATCTTCTCTTTCAGATCACGTGACCATCACCCCAAAGGATCCCCAGTGGGTAGGTGCGTGGTGGCTTGGCTATCTGATTGCAGGGATCATAAGTCTTCTTGCAGCTGTGCCTTTCTGGTGTTTACCAAAGAGTCCACCAGGACCCCGAAGTAGAGAGGAGTCGAGTTCCTGCTGTGAGAAATCTAGGTTCATTGTAGATGATCAGGCCAACTACCAAGCAGCTCACGGAGAAAGGGCAAAAATGCTGGAAATGGCAAGAGGTGAGTCTGACTCTACTTGATTTCAAAACCCTTTCAGTTTTCCTGTTGAAACTAGAGGAGATGTACAAACAGTACCGCTCTGTTCCTTCTTGTGTTCCGAGAGGGGAAAATGAAGGAAGGAGGCGAGCGAGAGAAACAGAGGCAACTCTTACATGTGAGCTTTGTTATGGGAAAAATGGAAGCACATCCTTACAAGTTTGGCTCACCTTCCTTGGCGCCATCCCTGTCCTTTTGCAGGCTGTGTATGTAGACCCTGTGACTGTGTGCAAAGGCTGGACAGAGGTGCAAAGAGTTAGTTTTTGGAGCTTCCAGCCTTACAGCAGATGAGAGTCACGTGTTTGAGACAGGCATACCAGTGCATCTCTCCCAGTAAGGAGTGCTGGGTGGCCAAAAGGTCAGAGGTGTTCCTACAAATTGTTTCCATAGAACTGTGCGTCCACACAGTTGGTCCTTTTCTTCCTCAAGCAATATTGACATGTCTGTATATTCTTCACATTGGCTATATAACAACACAAAGAGAAAATAAAAGAAATCACTTCTCACACTAAATTATGTATATTCAATGGAGATAACTTTTGTTTTTCCCCTTCATCATGACCAAATTTTGAAGAATAGAAACTAGAAGACAAACATTATTGAATTAATTAGAGGGGTAGAGGCATTGGGAGGGAGAGAAACAAACAGGAAAATAGAAGAGTTCCTAATTACCTCCCCCGCAAATACGGGGGGCTAGGCAGGGTAGAACATAACACCAGAAACTCCATATAGGTCTCCCAAGTGGAGGAGAAGGACCACTTGAGCCATCACTATTACTTGCCAGGATGCACTTTAGCAGGAAGCTGGAACCAAGAAGAGAACTGACACTCAGACTCAGGCACTCTAATGGAAAATGTAGACATTCTAACTTCCAGCCTAGAGCCTGCAGAGTAGCCATCACTGATGTCCTGCTTTTGGTTCCCAGCTGGATGTTGAAGGGAAATTCTTACCCCATTGCCTGGTACCTCCTGGCATTTACCACTGGTGAAATCTTCTGTCACAGCATGGTGAAGCCAATGCCTATATCTTGCCAGATCATGGCCTTGGGTCTCACCGTTGGCTCAGGGTGTGAGTTTGCAAGTGTGTGGTACCTTGCATCATCCTGCATTGTATGACAAATGGACTCAATCAAATCCTGCCACTACAGTTTTGTCTCCGGCCAGGTGTGATGCTGTCTTTAATCACTGTGTGTTACTTTGTCTCACAGATTTTCTGCCATCCCTGAAGAGTCTCTTGGGGAACCCCGTGTATTTCTTATATTTGTGTGCAAGCACCGTTCAGTTTAACTCTTTATTTGGCATGGTGACCTACAAACCCAAGTACATCGAGCAGCAGTACGGGCAGTCATCCTCCAGAGCCAACTTTGTTATCGGTATGCTCATCTGTGTTTTGTGCTTTCCCTCTGGTATTAGTTCAGAAGCATCTTGGAAATGCTAGAGAAGATTGTTCTAGCAGACCGAAGGTAGCTGAGGGTACGTTAGGTGAAGAATAAAAACAAATTAAAAAATATGTATGCCTAGTAGAGTAAAATAGTGGGATAGTCTTTGGCATACCTTTATAGCAGGAATTACCCCTAACGGTGGGTGCATGACTTCTTAAAGAAGTAATAGCCTGTAGTCCAAACATGCATTTAATCAGGAGATTATTCTTTCTGGGTCTTTGTGTTTCAAGGGTAACTGTCAACTCATAGTCATGGTCATTTTGCACCAACAGTTTCTAGGATTAGATCAGGATAACTGAACAAAAGGTGTTCATCCAGAAATAAAGCATATCTTTATTCAGAATCAAAAACCCTGGCAATTGAATTGTTTAAAAGTATTTTGTTTCTAGAACAGAAGTATAATAAACACACAAGAAAGATATTTGGGGACCAAGAGCAGAATGAATAAATCAATGAATAAGAATCAGAAAACTTAACTGTAAAACCATTGCTCTGAAAGTGATTGGATCCTTTTAAACCTGGCTTAGTTCATTTAGTCTATGAAGATATCTGTGTCACTGTTTTATTTTACTTACTTGGCACATTTTTTTGTAACAGGAGCATCATGTGACTTACAATTTAGCCTTCTTCATATTGTATTTTAAAAATCATTTTTATCGCTGAAAAAACTTTGAGGCTAGAGGTGGATAATAGCTCACTGTGTTGTAGCAGATGTAATTTTCCTGTGATCATCCTGGATAATGAGGGCATGCTAAGATAATTGACTCTTTGGATTATTCATCTCCAAAATTCCAGACAGAGGCATCTTAGGGCTGGGGAGGCTGTGCACATTGCCTTCTTTATAGAAACTTCAGGGTATTCTAGCAGAACATGTCTAATCTTGGAGCCAGGAAGAATTTTCTAGCAGAAGGGAATGACGTTGAATAACTAAAAGCTAAAGTCTCTTAAGAAACCAAAGGGTGGGAACCACCATGGACAGCCAGGAGGACATTGTATCCAGCAAAGCGGATATTTCTTCCAGAAAGGCCTGCAGGCAAGAGAACACATGAAACTTTTCGGAAGCTCTAAGAGAACATGGACTTTTGAAAAGTGATGCATGAGAAGAGGATTTTCTGGATATCCCACAATCCTTATGGAGGCAGATGCTCCTAGAATAACCTTCTTTCTACTGTCAGGTTCCTGTAGACCAAAGGGGGCCAGGGAGGTCCCTCTAACCAGCCCAGCCTCAGGCAAGTGATGCCTTGCTGTGACTGCTAAGTCTCAGATCCTCTTGATGTTTTAGAAAACAAAATGAAGTGCTGGGCACCTGCTCTGAAGATTTCAGTTCAGCATCTGATTTCCAGGAGGTACTTTCTCCATCACCCGATTTTGGGAGTGAGAATATAGGACTCTGGTACCTGTGGCATTCTCATATTTGTGGAAACAGATCAGTCAGGAACTATATTTTCTGCATTTCTTTTGTATAAACGTGAAAATGAGGAGCTTATAGTACAGACATCATGTCGGCAGTTGTACTCTTTTCTGAAACAAAACAAAACAAAAGCAGAAAGGATTGTGGAGCAAAAGGAATGGCAATCTCTCTGTACACTTTTAAAAGAAGCAGAAAATGAGAAAAAGCATTAGCGTTCTATAGCGTAGGTTGTGGGTATTTAGGTTTGCTCTGTTACCTTGACTAGCTTTTAAAGTCATGATCAGGTGACTCCTAGTTGATGTTTTTGATGCTTCAGGAACCCACACCACATTCACTGCCGCCATGTGCCAATACCTACAAGCCTTCATCAGGTAGGGATGCAGAAATGAGTGTTTTCTCTTAGTTCCACGTCACTAGTTTCCTGATCATGCCCCCTTCAGGTTGGAGTATCTGTTTACTGGTGAGACAGCATTGGTGTATATTTGATCTGATTGCTGATGCACATTAATTTGTCAAGAATATTATTTCCCAAATCCTTTGGAAGAGAGCTGCAGTAGCCTGGGATTTGATACTAGACTGATTGCCTTCAAATCTTGTCTTACTACCTACTAACATGATGATTGCTCTCTGAGGCAATGATAATGACATGCCAATTCTTAAGACTGTAGCCAATAAATATATTACATGCCTAGCTGAGAGTTGGTGTATTGAAAGTGAAGAGAATATGTGGGGATTGTTAATGATAAGAAATTCAAGCATGCTTCAGAATGTTTGTGGAAAGTAGGATTAAAACAAAAATGTTGGTGCAAACTTGTTTTTAAATTCACACAGTTTTTTTTCACACATGCTAAACATTTTCCATGAATGCTTTGAAGACCATTCATATACCAAGCTAAGAGGCTGAGTTAAGAAAAAGTCTATTTGTGCAGGAAAATAATACCAGGCCACCATCACCTACCAGTTCCAGAATCCCATATGAATTTGTATTCATGTTCCAACTGTTCCACATCCTACCCAACTTTAAAAAAAAAAAAGAGTTGTTTTTCTTGAAAATCAGTGGAACAGAAGGAGCAGGGAAGACAAACTGGGGGAAATTTTCCATCATCTGGTTTTCTTCTCCAATGGCTGCAACAACCAGAGCTGGTCCAGAGATGGGAGCCTGGAGCCTCTTCCATGTCTCCCATGAGGATGCAGAGTTCCAAAGCCTTGGGCCAGCCTCTGCTGCTTTCTCAGGCTGCTAACAGAGAGCTGGATTGGACATGGAGCAGCCAGAACTCAACCCAGTGCCCATATGGGGAAGTCAGTGCCATGGGCTGAGAATTAGCTTGCTATGCCACTGTGTCAGCCCGTAACCAACTCCTTTTTAATGCATCTGAGACTAAGCCAGTTTCTTAACTCTCTGCCACTCATGTGGAAGACCAAAATAGAATTCTTGGCTTCTGGCTTTCTAGCCCAGCCATGATCTAATGCTTCCATTTGGAAAAGGGGTGAGTCTGTGAAATAACTCTTTGATGTTCCTTTGTCTTTTTCTGCTTTTTGGATAAATAAATCAAATCTTAGAAAGCATAAACCAAAAAGATAATTTTTAATTCCATGTATTCCACTGTCTGGTTATTTTTTAACTATAATCATCTTTTTAGTGAAATTTGTTTATTTTATTGTGTGAGAGAGAACTATGTCTTCCATTCACTGGTTCTCTCCACAAATGACTGCCACAGCCAGCTCCTAGCCAGGTTGAAGCCAGGTGCTTTTAAGTCCATCCGGGTCTCCAGTATCAGTTACAGGTACCCAAGTTCTTGAGCCATAATCCCCTGCTCTCCAAGATGTACTAACAGGAAGCTGGTTTGGAAGTAGAGCAGCTGAGAGTAGAATCTGCGCTGTGATATGGCACCAACAACTCGAGCAGCTAAACTAGCCATTCCACAACACTGACATCAGTAATTCAAAATCTAAAATAAATGTATAGCAATCACTTAGTTGCCAGGTAATTTTTAATGTAAGAATCAGATCAGAAAATCATCTGGCCAGTGCTTTGCTCAGTCGTTGCTGTTAGCTCGTATTAGACTCATTCTTCAGCAGAGCAGTGAGCCTGTGTATCACTGATGGAGGAGCTACCACAAATCGACGCTCTGATCAATAGCTCTCGATGTTCGATGCCATTAGATAGCAATGACTCAATACCTCTGTAAATTAAAAATGTCAGATTTGTCTAATTACATGACCATACTCAGACTATTCCTTTTAGAGATTTGCCAAATTATACTTTTTTCCTTATTCCTCAGGGCTTATCAACATACCTGCAGTGGCCCTTGGAATATTCTCTGGGGGAATAGCTATGAAAAAATTCAAAATAAGTGTATGTGGAGCTGCAAAACTCTACCTGGGATCCGCAGTCTTTGGTTATCTGCTGTTCCTTTCCTTGTTTGCACTTGGCTGTGAAAATTTTGATGTGGCAGGACTGACAGTTTCCTACCAAGGGTACGTTTTCCTTCGTTAAGTGGTTTGAAGGGATTGGCTTGATTTGTTCAAGAGTTCAATAGAGTATTAAAGTAAGATAATGGTGATTTTTTTTTAAAACAACCTGATTATGAAAAAGAAGTTACTATTTTATTATCAAATAGCTGGCAATACTTGTGAGTCAAAATTTGTGACTGTTACCAAATTTGTCATCTCATTTGCATTTGAATATCTTAGAGAAATCCTAACTCACACTGTGTGCTAAATATACAGTATGACTTTTTGTCTGAGAAACAGCTTGGTAGGGGAAACACAGAGCTTGAATTTTACCTCTGCTTATTCCTCATGAAGTGACATTATGTGGGTTTATATTCTGTTGTCCCAGTTATAAAATCAAAGTGGTAACTAGCTTCTGACATTTTGTAAGACTTGGACAAGACAAGGCACAATATTTAGTGATCAGTACTTGTCCAACAGAAAATAGACACAGAATTTATGAAAAAAAAAAATTGTACTTTTGCCTTGGACACCTAGAATAGTGGAGTGTTCTGTAGGCCACTGTTCATAGTCGCTGTTGCACTTGAATCATAGGAAATTTCAAGCGTGGATGGCTATCCTTCAACCCGGTGACCTGATCTCAGCTGTCTAGCTGGTTGTCTTCCAGTTAGTCAAGACAATATTTATAGATGCCTTGGAACCCGTCTCATCTCCTAAAGTCTTTGTGTTTAGGTTACTCAGTTTCCAGAGTCTCTCTTCATTGCCATGGTGGGACTTGTAGGAACTATTTCATCTTTTTCTACTAATGGTGTTCTCCATTCTTCAACAAAGTATGTGTGATTTGTTTAAAAGGACTCAACCGAGCTCCTACCCTATGCCACACATGATTGCCTGACACTCCACCTGTTCCTCAAAGGCGCACAGATGGCACCTTAATCTGTTTCTTGCTTGTTCATTGTCTCTCTACTCTCCAGATATCATTGTTTAAAACTTTGCACTATCTTTCCTAGAACTGCTTTTTCCTTTTGTTTAAAATATCTTTGACAATGGCCAAGAAGAGCATTGCTATTTCTTTTGGTTTTTTCCAAATGGCAAAATCTCTCCCCACTGACCCCACCCCTGTGTAATTACTTCAAAAAGAAATTTTCATTTGGGTAAAAACATCCTGGTAGATTTGTTAAAACCCTTTCTATAATTCAAGTTTTAAACCACAAGTCGGCTGTCAACATTACCCTCCTAAAACATGTATGCAATTCATTTCTGCCCTACATGGCAAACTAAATTTGCTTTCTGTAATGCAAAATTATGGTCTTTATATACAAAATGTTTCCTATGGATTACCCCATTCTGCTTTGTTCAGAAAGGTAATTTTGATCCTGAACATTCAGCATGACATGGTAGACAAACTTTAAATCTGACAGTGGGAGAAACAAACCTTTATTCTGCAGGAAGGAAAATAACCCTGATGTGAGATAGAAATTTAGACTTTAGAAGCCTGGAAACAGTCAAGACCCGAGTTTGTCATAACTAAATGACACTAATTTGAGCAAGTAGCCTGTCCACTTTGCTAATCTGTCAAATGAGAATGTGACCCTAATTGCTCCAAGTATCTGCCCACTTCCTTTTGTTTATGAACTCAGCCCAAAGTGCTCATAGTGTAGCTTGATTCTTGGATTTGCAAGGCTGCTTTCAAAACAGGTTTATCACATAGTCTCATCTAACAATCCTTTTAAGGGATATATATTCATAAATTTAAAAGAGGAAGGAGGAGCAGGGGAGGAGGATGAAGAACAAAAGAGAAGGAGTTAGAAAGGAAGAAGAATGGGAGGGTAGGAGGAGGAAAAGGAGTTGGGAAAGGGGGAGAGGGAAGGGAGTAAGAGGGATGCTAAGAGGAGTTTGGGAGGAGGAATTTTTGTTGTTCCTACACCTTTATATAGGAGCATGTCAAAAGATCTTAGGGGCAGCAGAGTTAAATAGAATTCTTGAGCTGCAAAGTGGGCACTGAGTCTGGAAACCTCTTCAGATAACTTTCAAGGGAAAGTTGATTAATAATGAATTTACTGTAACAGTCAGAAATTTTCATTACCTAAAACAACTGTGTTTCCAAAAGGCTAGCTTTTTAACGGTATCCTATCACACAAGAACATTGACTCTTGAAAACATGAAGGTGCCACTTGCTAAGAGGTAATATTGTATGCTGTCACATTTCTTTTCAGAACCAAACCTGTCTCTTATCATGAACGAGCTCTCTTTTCAGATTGCAACTCGAGATGTAAATGTTCAGAGACAAAATGGGAACCCATTTGTGGCGAGAATGGGATCACATACGCATCAGCTTGTCTTGCTGGCTGCCAAGCCTCCAACAGCAGTGGAAATAATATTGTAAGAAATCTCCTTTGAAGTGTATGTCCAAGGGACTGTGACTGTATATAAATTGTACTACTCTATGGGGGGCTTGGCCCTGCCCCCTATTTTTAGGAGTCCTGGCTGTTCCCTTCCCCATCTCATTCTGTGACAAGGAAACAGGAACACTGTAACGGTTTTCTTAATGCACCCAGAGTAGACATTTTAGACAGAGGTCTAGGCTCTGATGATGATGGTTCTGGGACAGCTTGGTTGGGGGTTAAACAAGCCATGAGGATGAATAGTGCAGTTGAGTGAGTGGGCTAGAATCAAGGAGTGAGACATGTCACTGGAAATACAGGTTGGAAGCTGTAGTAGTTGATTTTGGCTACTGTAGAAAGCATGCTGTGAAGTGGGAGACAAAAATAGAGTTGTCATATGTATTTAAAAGTCCACATAGCTGTTCTCCCTAGAAAAAGGAAACACCAGATTTATTTATTCTGGAAGAAATAACAAGCTTGTAATGACAGTAACAACATACTCTATGCATTTGTAAATGAAATTCACATAAACATGCGAAGAGATTATCAAGATTGTCTTCCTTTTGTCAAGGACTAATACAATATTATGTATCAGGATTTTTTCCTAACATTCACTATGTATTTTGTAACCTTCTCAAACTATGCCCAGGTATTTAACAAATTTTGATTTATTGCCTAAAATGAGGGTCCATAAACTGTAAGCAGTTTATGCCTTTGCCTCTGTGGAGATCGCCTTCTAATAGGTAAATAGAATTTTAAAACGAGTGAACAACTTTATAACATCCTGACAGGTAGTAATAAGCACTGTGGAAACATTGGGTAAGTGGATGAGTTGATGGGATGACATTCTGACTGAGAGATCAGGGAAAGTCTCTGAGTAGAACAGGAAGTGAAGGTGCTAGCCATGTCGTGATCTAAGAGAAGAATTTCCTGGGCAGAGAAAGCAGGGTCATGTGCCATGGGTACACTTGCCATGTTTGATGGGAGCATTGGCAAGGGAAAAATGCAGTTATAAAATGGTGCTTGCAGGCAACGTGCATATGGATGTTCCAGGCAAAGAGGGAAGCTCACTGAGCAGTGAAGTAAGAATCAAGGAGCTACATGACAGAGGATGTGTAAACCCCACTGTAAGAATCTGAGCTGTTCTAATAATGCAACAGGTGGCCTTTATAAAGTTGAGGGTAGTTATACAGTTGGATCATCATTTGGCTCACTTTGCCAGCTGTTGATGGATAAGAGTAGAAATAGAATGAATATAAAAAGATTGTTACAATAATCAAGGCAGGAAATGGTGGTGGCAGGCTTGGAAGCTCAAGCGAAGGTGATGAGACACGGTTGGATCGCTCAAGATTTGATGGGATTTTATTCCATATGATGAATGGTTTCATACATATGACCTCTGTTTGAGCAATGAAATACCGTATAAATTTCGCTGTGTTCAGTGCATTCTGATACAGGAAAATCAGCGAACATGTCTCTGTTGTTTCTGTCATGCATGTATATTATGCTGTAAAGTTTGCCATAGACATTTGCTTTAGATCTTATTTTAATGTCACCTTAATATCAATACTAGTATTTGAAAATACTAATATTAATGTTTTCTTTTTTGTGCTACAGATGTTTTATAATTGTACCTGTATGGAAATTGCAGCTCCTGAATCGGCAGGTTCCTCAGGCATGATGGGAAGATGTCAGAAAGATAATGGATGTCCCAGAATGTTTCTATATTTTCTTGTAATTTCCGTGATCACATCCTATACTTTATCACTGGGAGGCATACCTGGATACATATTACTCCTGAGGTGATGGCTGAGTTTCACCACCCATTTTGATACCAAACATATTAATGTTGCTATAATGTACTTATATAGAACCGTTTTTCTAAACTATTTTAGGTATGTCACAGATTTTGTGAACAACTTATAAAGTGTGTATGCTTACCCATTGTAGTTTTTTATATAAAAATATGGCTGGATAGCCATTTTCTTACTGGAAAAATAATTGTAAACCATTGATCTAGATAACAATGTAGTGCCTACATCAGGTATTCACTCAGCAAATATCACCCACTGTTTGTAATACTGGTGGTCATGTTTCCTAGTGTGGATAACATGGGTTTTAGTTGAACTGTAGTTTTACCAAATCAAAAGTTTCTCTTATACCACCTCATTTTCTACTTACTAGTTTTATACCTAGATTACTGTCTTCTGCAACTATGAACTATATAGTCATTGGAATATAGCATATAATAGAATAGTTTTTTGTAAGCTGTGTCTTCCCTATGATAACAGGCTGGTGGTTTCTGCATAAATGCTACCTGAATTTCAATAGGATTTCATGTGTGTTAAACCGATAATCTCTAACCCGTCCACTTATTATAATGGATATTTTTGTAATAGTATTTGGTTGATTTTTCAGGTGCGTCAAGCCACAACTGAAGTCTTTTGCCCTGGGTGTCTACACCTTAGCAGTGAGAGTTCTTGGTAAGCATGATATATGCTCTAATCTGTGGTAGCTGTTGTAAGTGTATTGGGATGTATCTGGAAGATTTCCTGAATGTTTTTACAGGATATAGGATGCAGCTTTTCCATCAGTGTCTCCCACACAGGGATCAGACACTCAGGGACTTGCGTGGTCACCCACTTTGTCCATCCACAGATTAGCTCCTTGAGTAACCACAATATCCAAGCCAAAGCCAAGATAGTCCCTTCCACATTTGTGAAAACCAAACCACATTGAAAAGGTTTATTACAAAATAAAATATGAATTTGCTTTGATTAAAAAGAAAAAAGTGAAATCTAACTACTGGTTTCTCATAAAGTGCATCTTCCATGAACTTTGTGGAAAACCCTGTTTCTTTTAAATCTCTAAATTTAAAATAATTTAAAATTTTATCTTGGATGATTTTTACATAGTTGATTAGGGTGGGAAAGGTCAAGGCTTAGGAGAAAGTGGATGAGACCCATTGTTTCCAAATTTTCTTTTTTCTTCTTTCTGTATCTGGGGGAGGCAGGGAGACAAGAGGAGAAGCTGCACCCAGCCTCCCAAATGCCTCTGTCCCCAGGGAAGGGGAACAGCCATCTGATGTCATCCCAGGGTCCCTGGTGTGGCGCATGCTCTGAGGGTTCTGTTTGAGTGGTTTCAATAGTTCTCAAATTCTATCAGTCTCACTGATCCAAAAATGAAGTTTACAATTATTGGGATATCTATGGTTTGGTGCTCTGAGATGCTGAGAATATTTCATTTCCTGAAATCATTACTCCCATGTTTCAGCAACCATTGGTGATTCTAGATTGAATTGATTATTTTATGGGTACTTGCAAAATTTACATAAACTTTTAAATAACAAATATCTTAAGTGTTTTCCATTTGTTACTGAAAGGAACTGATAAATTCTAAAATCTGAAATGTGTAATTAAAGATGCTTGATGAGTTTTAAGCATTCTGCGTAAGCGTACCAAAGGAAATGTGGTTTTGGAAGTTTTATTTATTTAAAAGAGTGACAGAGAAAGGGGTTAGTTGATTAATTTTCCATCAGCTGGTTTATGCCCCAAATGCCCACAGGTCCAAAGCCAGAAATTTTAAACTCCATCTGGGTCCTCCATATATGTGTCACGGACCCAGACATTTGAGCTATGACCTGCTGCCTCCAAGTATGTGCGTTAACAGGAAGCTGGTTCAGAAACAGAACTTGGAATAAAGTCCATTCATTCCAATATAGGAATTGGACATCCCAGGTGACAGCTTAACTGGCATACCAAACCTAGCAAGCAGTTTTATGTGCCTATGTGCAATGCATTGAAAAATCAAAATATCAGAAAGTTCAAGCAGTTGTTGAAAATGAGTGAAGTGGGAGGGGGGGCGAAATGTGTATGAGAGAAACCGAGAATATGAGAGCCAGAGAGCGAGTGAGCAAGCAAGAGAGGGAGGGGAGAGACAGAGAGAGAGAGAGAGAGAGAGAGGGAGATGGAGATGTTTGGAGTAAGAGAATGGAACTCTGAGCATGTGAAAGTGTAAGTTGGATGTAGAAAAAGCTACTGTTGAGAACTGCTCAACTGTAACCATGATCTGTGAGACATACAAATATAAATTGAGTTATGAGCAGTCAGCTTAAATTATTTGCTATGTTTATATTTGTGAGCAAATATTATTTGATAATATACTATGTTTTTGAGCATGAATAGGGAAGACGTTTATTTCCTGCCCTGTGTAACTTCCAGTCGGGTAGGAAAGGCAGTTAAGTAAGCCATTATAAGAGTTTCAGTGAATTTGTAATAAATTCAAGTGTTGTGATTCATAGAACAAAGTGAATTAATGCAGTAGAAGGCACCAGAACACTCTTTCCTGATGGAAAACATTTGAATTTGAATTTGAAGATGGGTTCATATACAGAGGGGAAGGACAGAAATGGAATGTGCTCTGGGTGGAGAAAACAGAAAGCATTTAAACAGTGGAGGAGAATATTTTAAGCTCTGAAAGAAATCAAGTAGGATTGTATAAGGCAACAAATATTGTTCAAATGCTCAAATTGAGATCAATAATCTGGGGCTGGGGCTCATTGTCTGGTGGGTTATTAATGTCTTCAATCAGGTGTCTGGGCTATTTATTTGACTAAATCAAAATTTACAAGAAAAATAGTAGGATATTAACAGAACAAAGTGGAATCATAATGGACCATGGTTTCAAGTGCAATATAATGGCAGTAGGAATGGTGAGGATTGGTGTTTAAGATACACCTGGTAGGTAGAATTGATAATGATTTGGACATGTTAAACGAAGAGAGGATAGTAAGAAATAGTGATGAAGGGACACTTTGGGGGAGAAATAAGTCAAGCTGAAGCTGAATATGATGCTTCTTGAGCTATCAGATGGCAGTTACTGAATGGATCCGGAGATCATGAGAAAGACTACTCCATAGAGAAAGCTTTTGGAGATTGCTGTATGTAACTGACGGTCTTTGATCTTCTGATGAGTGCTTGTGGACCTAAAAGTAATAGGGCCGCAACGCTGTTCATACTGTATAAGATGTGTATATGTTTTTGGTAGTAATTATTTGTCTTTATTGCAGCAGGAATCCCAGCTCCAGTATATTTCGGAGTTTTGATCGACACTTCATGCCTCAAATGGGGATTTAAAAGATGTGGAACTAGAGGATCCTGCAGATTATATGATTCAAATTATTTCAGGTACCATATCAAATGCATTCCCACAGTTCACTGTCGCAGCTTCCTAGTTTGTGCAGTAAATGCCAGGGACACTGCTAATTCATCTTGCAGTTTTACTTCTTGCAAAATAAATATTAGTCTAACAAAAAAAAAGCCGAATGTATTTCTGTGTTATAGAATAATCTGTTGTTTTATTGTCTGGATCTTAGATTCTTCCCACTAACCCCCCTATTTCTTCCCCCCAACCCCTGACACTGACTCCCATTTTAAATAAATAATCATTTTAAATGAGTAATTTAGAAAGCAGGATGATGGGTTCTGAGTAAAGCAGAATTTTGAAAGTTTATGCACACAAATGGTAATTCACTGTAACTCAGGATCATTTAAATTTGGGTCACATTTTGGTTTTAATTCTGTTCGTTTTCAAAGTGAGCCAAACTGTACCATTTACGTCAGATATAATCCCCCTGGGCAAGAGTTGCATTTGGCTCTAAATCTGTCCAGCTTTTATGGCCAAACTGATGTCCAATTATTCCAGTCCTTAAAAATGCATAAAAGCGAAAGGTTTCCTCTGTGTGAGTGAGTGTGTAGAGGGGTTGGGGGTATGGCTTTTCCACCAGGGTAGCATTCAGTTCAATTCTTCAAGTGTTTAGTCCTCATCTTGCTTAAAGCAGTATTTCAATGGCTTTAAAGCATGGGCTTTTTTATTTCTTCTTCTTTTTAAAGACTTAAGAGCTGAGTGTTTTCCGAAGCAATAAACTTGGTACTAAACCGCCTAAGCTAGATGTGAATTGGGCAGACCATTTGAAACAAGATGGTTGTTTGATTTAATAGGCTTTGATGTTATGTGTGAAATTTGTTTTAGCCTTTGATAGGGATCGGATCTGTGAGTATAATTTGGGCTTCACTCACATTTGCTAAGGCTGCATTCTCTTTAATGTAGAGACAGTGAAACTGAATCAGAAAGTAAAAGCATGTTTATAAGGTGACCAGAATGAAACATTGAACCTGCTCTTTCATACTTTACTTAGGAGGAAGTGAGGAACTAAACGCCTTCCATGAAAGGAATTGATTTAATCCCGTGTGATTGTAAATCACTTCGTTATATTACAGAGGCCAATTTCCCTTCACATTGCTTCATGCAATTTTTCCAAAGAAATGAGTTCAGGAAATGTCTGAGGATATTATAACCACATAATTTATCATCCAACCTAGAAACATTTGAGAATGAAAGAGGATATTAATAAGATGACACTGGGACAACACTAACCTAAACTGGGACTGTTCTTTGCAACAAAAAGGATAGTCACTTTTTCCATGGGAATATTACAGGGAGGAAGTAAGTGATTGTGCAATTAGGAGGACCTGAGAATGGTGTACTAGTAGATTGCTTTGTGTTAACTGCCTTTGGTAGCCTACCAGTTTTTGGAGAAAGCCCCTCAATTTCTACCATTCTAGATTATATTTGCATTTTCAGGAAAACCATCAGAATGGAACGACCACCTTTCTTTTACACTTTATTTCAAGTTCCACAGTTGACATAATTATGAGTGGTAGTCTCTCTTCTTGTAGATACATCTATCTGGGAGTAACCATGATCCTGGGCACAGTGTCCGTTGTGCTAAGCATGGCAGTGCTTTTCGTTTTAAAGAGAAAAGATGCTTCGAAACCTGGGAACTTTGTAATGCCAAGTGAAACAACAGTGGTCTCTACAAGATTTAGGAAGGAAAACTGTTTTCGCCGTGACCACCTACTTGAACCCAGCTACTGGCCAGGCAAGGAAACACAACTTTAAGAAAACGATGGGCAGAAGCTATGTTTTCTAACTTGTAGAAGTTTTGCAAATGTATTTTGATCCAAAAGATTTTAAAATGTGTAAAATCTTCTTTCAGAAACGTCTGCTTTCTTTTTGATTTGAAACATTAAGTAATATGCTTGATAGCAATATAATTAAATAGAGCCAGAGGAGATGATAAAACTGATTTTTAAACCTTTGAAATTTATATACAGATTCCTTAGTATTCATACATTCTGCTTCAGTTCACCTAATGTGCACTGATATATTTGCTCTATTCTTGATGGAAGAATTGGTTCTGTTGTCTGATGTATACAAAGCAACTTAACAGTTATCTGTCTAGAATAAGAGAATATGATTAGAAGATTGAATCTCATCTTGTGTAATTTCCTATATGGCCCCAATGATGATGTTTGGACAGAGTCAGAATGTGCAGAGGCACATTTATTTTAATTTCCTCATTTCTTTGGAAATATAATAATTGATATAAAAACATAATGATAAATGGTCTTGGAGGTTAAAATTCTATTTTTCATTAACATGTACTATTCATGTGACACTACTGGGTGCGGAATCTTTCTCAGCCAGTGGCCATTTGTATGTTTAGATCATTTGAAGACCGTACAAATTATCAGCTTAAAAAATTATCCTATTGGGCCTGGCATGGGAGCCTAATGGTTACAGTCCTCGCCTTGCACGCACTGAGATCCCATGTGGGCACCAGTTTGTATCCCAGCTGCTCCACTTGCCATCCAGCTCCCTGCTTGTGGCCTGGAAAGCAGTGGAAGACAGCCCAAGGCCTTGGGAATCTGCACTTGCATGGGAGACCCGAAAGAGGCTCCTGGCTTCAGGTTGGCTCAGCTCCAGCCATTGTGACCACTTGGGGAGTGGACCAGAAAATGGAAGATCTTTCTGTATCTCCTCTCTGTATATCTGCCTTCCCAATAAAAACAAATAAAAATCTTTATAAAAAAGTTACCCTGTTAGGATTTTTTTTGGATTTTGAGTCCCACGCCGTGGTTGGCCCAAAGTGTTTTTATGTTCTGTGGCCTGGATATTACTTACCCCTGCAAGTACACATGGATGTAACTTAATAAAATTAATAATAATGTATTTATTGTCCTTTATTATATTATATCTAAATAGCTCCCTGCTTGTCACATGATGTGTTTGCGAAATATGTTTGAAAGTTGCATGTCTGAGAGTCTGCAATACACTTAGTCACTGTAAGGGAAAGGGAGTGATGGATGGCATGATGGAAGGGCTGTGTGTGGTGGTTGGGTGCTCTCTGTCACTCATCACAGGGCCCAGGGACTCCTGGGCCGGAAGCTGCAGCATGCCACACGACTGTTTCTCAGCAATGGAAGGAGTCGAGCCCAGCACTTCCTCTTCCCTGGCTTCTTGCTGTTCTTCTGACAAGGGTGAGTTGGTTAGCAACCTGTCGTAGTTAATCTGCTATATATTTTTCTGTACATGCTATGTGTTTTTCTGACATGCTGCATTTTTTTTTCCTTTACCTTAGCCAACTTCAATCAGAATGCATGCTCATGAGGCATTTCATCTACTGCCGGCTCACGACCCCCTGCTCCTCACCCCCTGTGCAGTCTGTGAAATCCAGAGAAGACCTGGTCGAAGGCAAACTGGAAGACTGAAGGGTTGGAGTGTGTGTGAGGCTGGGGAGTCCCTCCAGCGCACAGGAAGAACCCTTTCCATCAAGGAGATGTTCAAGATCAAAATGGGAACTTGTTACCAGCCTACCCTAAAAACCTTTGTAGCATTCTTAGTATCAAAATTCACATGGAACTAATGATGAAACAGACTTCTGCTTGCAGAAGTAAGAGATAAGATTTTTATACAAAAATCAAAATGGATCAAGGCTCTAAGCCTACAACCTGACACCATCATATTATTACTAGAGGGAAACTCAAACACTACAAGGCAAAGGCATAGGAAAACACCCAAAAGTACAGGCAATTAAAGCAAAAATAAACCAATGGTACTGCATCAAACTAAGAAGCTGCACTGCAAGGGAAAGAGGCAAGCAACAAGTTGATAGAAAATATTCACGAACTACACAATGAAGACTAATATCCAGGATTTACAAAGAACTTCAGAAGCTCAACAACAACAAAACAAACAATCCGGTTAAGAAAGACAAGGCACAGGAACAAATATTTTTTTCTAAAAATGAAATTGAAATGACTAATATGCACACGAAAAACTGCTCAGGTTCTCTAGCTATCAGAGAAACCCAAATAAAAACCACGTTACTGATGTGAGAAAGACTAACGTATAGAAATAGAAATCAGTAAGCACAGGGAAGGATGTGGGGGAAAGGTGCCCTAATTCACTCTTGGTGGGAAAATAGATTAGTGCAACCACTATGAAAAAGAACATGGAAATTTCTCAGATATCTGAAAATAGATCTACCATACGATCAGCCATCCCACTCCTGGGAATATATACAAACAAAATGAAATCTGCATATGAGAGAATTAACTAGATCCCCATGTTTATAGCAGCACAATTCACATATCCAAGAAGTGGAACCGTCCCAGATGCCCATCAATGGATGAATAGAGAAAACGTGGTACATACATGCTGCAGAATATTACCTATTAAAAAATGAAACCTTACCGTTTCCTACAAAATGGACTCGGCTGGAATCCATTGTGGTTGTTGAAATATGTGAGTTCCAAAAAGACAAATCTCTTGTGTTCTCTCTGATCTATACTAACTGATACACAAGACACGAAAAGCATAATGTTACAAGTGAGATGAATATCCTGGGATTAACTACTGCCTACAGCATGCATTTTTACTTTCCATTTGTATTATAATTTACATTATGTTACTTTTTTTTGTTTGTTTTCCTCTACTTGTTCCACTGTACAACTTTGTTGGTAACTCATAAAGTTTGACTTAATGTAGAACCAATAAGAATTAGATTTTTTTTTACAAGTGTATTCTTTATTTTCTACTTGAGTCAAAAATGACGTGTTGTTTCAAATGCTGGCATCTATATCCGAGTATTAATTTGGTCTGAGCGTCACAGCTTCCCATGCGTCTTCCTGCTGTTGTACCTGGGATTGTGCTTGTGGAATGGGGCCCTTAGGTCTACCCATCAGGAGAACTCCTTCCCACCCCCGCTTTCCACCTGGCCCAGCCATGGCTGCTTGCTCCCACTTTCCTGCCATCTGTAATTCTGCCTTTAAGTCAGCCCTATAGTCCCTAGAAGGAAAATATTTTAAAATTTTCTCATTTTTACCTACTTTCAAGCAAATGTCCTTACATTTTTTATTACATTTGTAAACAATGTTTGTATACTTTTCAGTTTATGCTTTTCTTTCAAAAAATTTATTTGTATTGCCAAGGCAGACCTTGGCAGAAAGGAGAGATAGAAAGTTCTTCTACCTGCTAGTTCACTCCCCAAGTGGTTGTAAGAGCTGGAGCTGTGCCCATCCAAGCCAGGAGCCTCTGCAGGATCTCCTATGCAGGTGCAGGGTCCCAAGGCTTTAGACAATCCTCCTCTGCTTTCTCAGGCCATAAACAGGGAGCTAGCTGAAAAGTAAAACAGCCAGAACACAAACTGATTCCAAAATGGGATCCTGGCACTTGAAGGGATTAATCAATTGAGCCATTATGCTGGGTCCTCAATCAATGCTTTTCAATATTTGTTAAGTTTTTAAGTTTATAAAAAATATCAGTTTGAAAAAAAAAGCCTTCTAGATTATAAAAAGAATCTATTCTTTGGTCACAAGAGAAAATATATTTATGAAATTTTATTACTTGTACTATTCTTGTATTTTGATATTTATTTTTCTTTCTCAAGTCCAGAGTATAACATTTTATTGAAAACTTCCAGTATTAGATTTTATGATTTTTTCTTAAAATATTATGTATACACTTTAATGTTTTTATAGCATATAACATGCTATGTAGATTCAATTTGTAATTTTGTTTTAGGTTTCTTTGAACTCTATTAATAATATCAAACTATATATACGGAGTCTCAAAAAATTTCACAGATATGCATAATTAAAAACTCTGCATATATTTCAGAGTTTTGCAGCATGATAAATGTATATTTTCACCTCATTTTTCATGAACTTTCAAAGTTCTCTCACATTTCTTCTTGCTGATTTGTTTACTGCATACAGAACCCAGGCGCTATCCAGAGATACTGTTATTCCCTATTCGAACAAACCTGAGACAGAGTGAGCCTGGTGAGAGACTAAAGCACCCGAAAACTCATGAGGCCAACAGCTGAGTGAAGGAGGAGGCCGTAGAAAGGTTCTCCTGTGCTAAAAAAAAAAAGGAAGAAGAAGAATAAAAGAATCATGTTGCCCTTCAAAATGCACAGATAGCTGTAACGGAATGGAAGCTTGCAGACATCCTACCCCTGTGTTTTCCCCGAGTGACTCCTAACAGAAGGGCTCTATGAAGTAGCTATTCACAACTCATTACGCTTTACTGCTGCCGTCAGGTGGATCTGCATGTACGATCCTGTAACAGATTGTGTTTTCTAACACAGAGTCTCTGACGTCAGTACAACTCAGTCAAAGCTTAAACAGCACTTCCTGCCAGGCCTGGCTTGGATTAAACCCACATTTAAAAACCCAGCCATTGATTTACTTCATGCCTCAGGCCAATAGGACTGGAACATACTCCATGCTTCAAAAGAAGAATTCAGAGCAGTGAATGGTTCCAACTTCGAGACAGACAGGTATTCAGGAGATGAACAAGTGCATCTGTTTTGCTTTATTCAGAAACACATATTTTTATTTTAAAAAATTTTAAACATAGTCCTGTCAGAATATTGGCCATTTTCATAGTCTGTAGTTCCTTACAGTTGTGTTCATGATGAATGGTCATTGTATATCTTTAAATTTGTGTGTTATCAAATACTAAACAACAGAAAAAGAAAATAGAAATCTACTCCCTTGCTCCTGCGGTTCTCTCTCTCTATGCTGTTGTCATATCCCCCCCCCTTTTTTTTTATCACAACATGATTTCCAAAAGTATTCTGCAAAGGATTGGGAATTGCTCATAAAACATTCGCTATGCTCAGGAATTGTTCTAATTTAGTTGTTTAGTCATTGAAACAGTCTATAAGAATGTGTGCTTATGTGCGTTACAGGTAAGTAAGACATAGACATTTAGAAAGGTTTCGAAATTTCTGTGAAGTCATAGAGACAAATTCAGATCCAAACTCCTAGTGCTACCATGGTCCCAGACATAGCATGTATCTGAGTTCAACACATATCCATTCTATAAAACACGGAACTCATTATACAATAATCTAATTTCCAAGTTACACAGACTTTAACTCAGTATACAATGGTTAGACCTAGTTCT